GACACCTTCTTTTCTTAACCGTAACACTGGCTCCGCCCATGTGTCCGAGAAGTGTCCACATAATGTGGTTTCTGAAGAATTGTTTCGTTTCAAAAGTCAAATGCATGGAAATATCTACACTGCTTCTAGTGATCATAACGCCCTTGTGCGAAAAAAAGAAAGAAAGAAATTTGTGCGATGCCTCTAATAATATATTTATTGCAACATCAACATTATAATGTTCTAGAAAGCCACATGGTAGAAGATGAAGTATTAGCGGACATTGAACTGCAAGCCATTACGGGAAGAAGCTTTTTAAGGGCTCTACGATAGGGTTTAACTATAACCAGAATGATGACGCAAGCACAACAAGGCACGAGAGAAACACTGAAAGCCATGCCAAACGAGCAAATGAAACGAAGATTCAACGATCGAGAAAGCATGGCCACTACACCCAAAGAAACGGGCAGGAAAACCTCGAAGAACACCAGCACGAGAAAATTTGCCATCAGAACTTTGAACACGGCTCGGTGAGCACGCAGAAGCGCCAAGTTGTCGCCTTGTTGCTGAAGACGGCGATAGCTCTGGAATACACGCACGAGACCAGCGACCATCAACGCACAGAGAGCGCTATAGACCGATATTGTCAAGATCGCGACCGTAAGTGATTCTGTTGTGCTGAAACTGAAGAGCAGCACGGCGTTTGGATTATCATCGGAAAACTGGGCAGTGGCGAGAACGACACCGACGACAAAAGAAACGGTGAGTAGTTGGACACCAATAAAGGATATCGAGCCCTGGAATTAGGTTCATTTGCTCTTTGGTTTGCGCTGCGCCATGCAGTCGACTCCCACCCCAAAATCGAATGTTTCTCGGTGTTCTACACGAAAATCTGCTAAAAGTGCTTCCACCTTCAAGCTGTTTTTTTATTCAGAAAAGTCACATATCTTCAATGTCACTCACCAAAAGTCCTGTTCGATTTCCAAGAGATTCCATCCTTGAAGGTAGTGAACACGATGGTTGAGAGGCGGGAGCAGTCATGAACATGATAGGTGAGGAAGGGCGCAAGAGGGGGTGGTAGCTAACATGCCCCTTAGGAGCGAGGGGCCTGGCCCACAAGGAAAATTACCGGAGAATGGGACAAACGACTTTCACGACAGTGTCCCTCCAGGTAAGTGCTCGCTGCTTTGAGACTCGCACCAATTGCTATTAAGGGGGGACACCTCTACGGAGTGGGCGAGATGTTGGAGAAATTATAAAAATACAACTCACATGCAGGGCAATTATGACTCCCACTCCATACGCTTTTTCTTCGCTTCCAAACCCTATTCTGTGCCAGAGAGTTCACTACGATTCCCTATCGAGAAATCTCCACAACGCTCACTCTGCACCACCTTCACAAATAAATGACTGATTGTGAGAAAACTATGAAGGGTCCATGCCACGGAGGATTCCCTTCCAACTCATTATTTGACTTAATGCCCCTATTACCCCTCTTCCCTCGCTCCCTTCAACCTGAAGTGTTTGAAAAGGTCAGAAGACACCAACGTGATATCGGATAGTTCTGCTGTTGATTGTTTCGGCAAAATGCACATTTAAATGTCTAAATATTTTTTAGGGAAGTCAGATGCATGGCGCATTCCGACTAACTGCTAATATCACAGTTCAGTCATAATTCGTTGACAATCTCACCTTTCGCGAAAGTGAGAATGAATTCGGCCGTCCAGTCAGTAGCTGATAGTAATAGACGAACGACAGCACCGTGGCTATGAAAGACGCGAATACAGAAGTACAGATGACCGAAATCATGACAACGGTGACAGGTCCTGAGGCGAAAACCGGATGTACGTTATAGAGTAACATCCCTTCGAAAGAGAACTTTTCAGAGCCATAAACCATCGTCGGCAGCATCATCACTGGATGGAATAGCAACGGCCCCGGTACGTTGAATAGGACACACCACAAAATCAGATTCACCAGAACAACTCGATATGACTTCAGTACCCGATCGCGAGCCGATACGATTATAGACGTCGTCAGTACGCTGAGAATAACTGACGAGACAGCGTTGAAGGCAATAAAGGCGTTGAACAAAGTGAAATATTTGGGGTAAAAGGCAAGCATGTCATTTATGGAAGATATGTACCATTCCATGTCGCATGAATATGACCCTGCAACAAAAATCATGTGAAGAAATAGAAGTGGATGAATCCGTGGTTAAAGGCATGTGACACGATGAATAGGTCTTCCGTTTGGAAAGGAGGTAGAGCTGCTGTATGAAACCCGCAAAATGGAATACATGTTTCCCCCGTCGATTTACGCATTGAGCGAGTCTCATCGGTACTGACGTCATCAGCGTGAATGCCCTGCTCTGGATCTCTACTCAAGCGGTTGGAGGAGTCACCAGCCGGTGCAGCCAGTCGGTGGGCGGAAATGAGGTGGTCAAAGAGATAGGGTCTCATTAGGCCGCCACAGGCGCTTCCCACCCCCGCAAAGGTCCACGTTTGACCAGGGTGAATAACGGTCGAGGAATTCCTCGACCATCGCTCTCTGCTGTGCGAGAGTAGAGCCGATAGTGAATGTACGCGCGGAGAGCACAGACGGCTCGCGGGTGGCGAGAGTGAATATCCGCGCGCGAGAACGTAAAGGATCAGGCGAAAATCCTCGACGTGCCGTTGAGGAATCCTCAAGCAATATTCACCCTGCGTTTGACTCTCTTGGGAGCCAAAGAGCGAAATAACTGCATCGCAAAAATTTAACGGGAACGTTTTTTCATCTATTTCATTATTGCTAGCCACTAATTTTCATATGTGGAACATTTACTAAACTGGAAAGTTCTCATGAGTTTTGAGCCCGAGGAATTCCCAGTGAACAGAAGCAGGTGAAATGAATGAATGAGATCGTGCCCTTCTAAGAAGCGTAGTAATCAGTGACTCGGTTCGTGCGGGGAACATCTGCTCTCCTTTCGATAACAGAAATCACATTTCGATGTCATAAAGTAACATCATAATTTCTTGATGTAAAGTGGTTCCCATGCGCGACTTCTGGGACACCTCTCCAGCTAGCTCACACGCAAACGATGGAACTTTGATTTTCAAGTAGCCCGTAGAGTAGCAGCAATATTGATTTTTTTCTTTTCAATGAATTCGGAAAAAATAAGTAACTTCTAGGGAACCCCCGCACGTGCCTGAATACACCGAACACCAGAAACTTCACCTGGGTAAGACCTCTCGACTTCAGTGGATATCGTAGGCGGTAACGGCCGAAGTTTATCATGCAAACCTGCACCTGCTCACACACGCCATACATTCATGGAGCCAGGTTTCAAAACGCAGATGACGTTACGAGCATTCGTTTCTCTTCAAGATGCGCCATACACCCGACTTCTGACCACAACCAATAGATATTTGAATGTGCATGTCTTTTAAAGCCGTTAGCCGGTATGGAAATTATGGCTTTCACTCCTAAATGGAGCTATTGTTGACAAGGACTGTCCTGGAGAAATGAAAATGGTCGTTATTAAGGTGAGCTTAGACTTCCAAAAAAGCTGTTAGTTTCAAAAACGACTGTCGCGTAAAATTGGGCTCCCGTCGGGGCTTAAATTAGGAAGCGGGGGAAGGAGTGAAACAAAAATTCAGAGAAATGGCGTGAAACGCTCGAAACGAGACTATTCTCCCCGTTGATTTCGTTCTGGGTGAATTACATCTATGCTGCGTCATCAACCTAACTTTGACGCTCCGCCTGTCTGTTGAACGAGTGGGATCCGGCCGACAAATGGGTTAGCCCATCGGTGGGGGCTGGGAGCGGGAGCGGGGGGGGGGGCAAGAGGAACAAGGGCGTCTCGATGGACGGGTAGAACTCCGTAAGGCCGGTGCCAGAATTTGCGAATCGTGCGGTTCGGTCGATTCGCTACTAGCGAATGGCTCGATTCGCAGAACTGACACCGACCCAACTTGCTGCGGGCGACTCCTTCGCAAATGTGCCACGGTGGCCAGTGTCAGCCTTAGACAGATGTTCAGACGTGCGAATCGCGCGATTCGCTACTACCGATTCGTGCGATTCGCTAGCGTCCGCGTTCGCGCTGCGGTACCGACCAATTGAGTGATGCACTGGCCCCGAAGCGACCGCAGACGCCAGCGAACCGCGCGATTTGCAAATGTTGCATTCACCGGCTTAGACGATCCAGCGAATTCACTAAGTAGGAAGTTCCGTGATCGCAGAGGTGGCGATGGCGAGACTAGCGTCGCCTTGGGGGCTAGTGTTCTCAGATTGACAATAGCGAATCCCTCTTCCTCGAGTCCAATTGGATTGTGCACTTAGCATATGACGGCAATTTTAAACTGAGGTGAGTGTAAACAAAGGGCCAGTTCCGGCAAAAAGTTGTACCTTTTGGAAACGTTGTGGGCGTTGAAGGATCCAACGTAACGTCCTGACACATAAAGTTCGTGACAACACACGAAAAAACTGTTTGCCGCAACGTTACGCGAAGGATGTACGTTGGCTGAAGCAGAACCGAGGCCCGGCAGGAGTTCAGGTATTTTAGGCTTTGTAGGATTTTTTTGAGATATGTTACAATTTCGCAAATTTCAGAAATGAATTATTAAAGAATTGTGTGCCATATCAAGTGGGTGGCTCACCCAACTGATCACGACAGGTCAAGTGACTGCGGTCACCCGCCCTGTCTACACTCCTGGCTCACGACTCCCAATTCTTGCGTGGCAGTTAATTAGCGAGCAGCAGTCCAGTGACATAACGTTGGCTGTTTCAAAAACAAATGCGGCATGCACGCCTATGGTACGAGCAACCAACAGTTATTGTTTTCGAGCATTTCTAACGCTCCTAGTTCAGACTGTATCACGTTACGAATTGTCAACTCCAATCAAAAGCTTTATTATAAACCAGAGATATTGCTGAGCACTCACGAGAGGAAGTAATGACAGAGCAATGCCAATGGATCATGCATTTCTAAGGCTACCTAAAAAATCATATCCGATATCAATATCAGTGCCTGCAAAAAGGTTAATTATTGTACTACAGCTTGTACTTTGAAAGATAAGCCCTGAACTATCACAGCTGATGAGTGGAATACTACGAGTTGAAGAGCGAAATTGGGTAAAGTGAAAGAGGAGATTACGACCAGTCAATAAGTAGACACCATCCTGGCCTCATTACAATCTTCTGCCTCACTGAATTAAGACTCCTCTATCGTACGTCCGCTACCTTGGTGGTTTTCACCGTTCCAAGCCGCGTCGCAACGCTCGCGTATGTGCAGGAATCTTCATGTTCTTATTCTTATGAAACCATGATTAGCTGACTTGAGAACGACGATTATAAAGGCCTAAATCGCGCAGGAGAGGCGGCGCCCAGTGAAGGGTTACCCCAGATCCGACCGCATGAACCAGGCACAGTTCCGTTGCGCAAACGGAGGCTGCAGGGTTATTTACGAAGCAAGCCTAGAATAGTTAGTTATGGGTTAATTATAATAGAATTGGAGCTGGAACACAAAGTATGATATTTAGTAGCAATTCAACATGGATTCAAGAGCCTCTGCATTCTCGTCGTTAGTCGTCTCACGTAATGAATCGCTCATCGACGTCTCCTGGTACTGTACAGTGAACAGAGGATCTTTGGTGCGTTTCGATCCTTCACCAGGACCCAAATCCACGTCCACAACTTGATTCTAAAGAGCAATGACTGTTATTGGAGCACGGGCTGGACTTATTTTAAAGGCAAGATTCGGGATAAAATAGGTGTCTAAAAGCGTTCAGTCATGATACTAGAGGTGGGAGGTGGTCTATAAAAGAGAAGGAAAGCAAACGAAATCACAGATTACGCCCCGTACAGAAACCTCCCCTATTTCAGCAACATTCCACTTGGGATAGAGAAAAGCGTTGGACGAGTTTCGCGAGCCTGACTCTAGTTGCTCCAATGCCATTGACATAGGGTCGCGGTGGGACCGCTGCCTTGAATGCGCCCGCGCTCTTCAAGCAGCGCCACGTGGCAACCGACAGGGGAGGGTGGGGCTTGCGGACGAAGGGTGTGAGTTGGAGTTGTACGGAGGCGCCTTGCGAACTTTGATAGCGTACTTTCATGCAGCAAGGGGCCCGAGATTAACATGGTCACTATGCCTACTACCCTGGATGGAACAGGCGCATGCCCGCTTGATCGCGGAGGGCCTGTATATTAAGCGCAAGCTTTATTTTGCTTCATCATCATGAAAAACGATTTGGATACTATCAGGCAGGTGTCAGACATTGCGGATCGAGCCTCGATTCGCAGAGCATGACACCGCCCTCAAGTTATCTCTAACACGCCTAGAGATGTTTTGACATACGCGCCCAGTTTGGCGCAATATGGCGTCAAAAATGAAGGAGTTATTTGTTATTGGAGCACCAAAATCACCTAATGGTAAGTTTACACAAATTCGATTGCAAAATGTGCAGCAAATTGAAGCAAAATGGCGCCAAGTGGTGCTGCAGGGCAAAAAATGAATGATATGTTCGCCAGGCCGGTGTCACACTTTGCAAACCCAGCGAACAGTGGGTCAGCGCCAGCGGTTCGTGGGTGCACAAGCAATTCGGTAGTATGAAATTTAAAAATAAAAACAACACGAAACGAAAAAAGAACGTACTAGATTGAGAACCCGGAACGATTCATCCATTTCCTCTCGAGTCTTGAAGATAAATCCAACCACACAACTGGGATCCATGTCGTGGATGGGCAATTTGGAAAACGAACGACAGTGGTAGGTGCCAATTGGGTGTTTTCGACGCTTCTTCTGCAAGTTCAATCATAATAACAAGACGCAAAAAATATACACAAACCCCTGGGGTAGACATTCGATGTATGCGCATTTTTAGGTACCAACACAGCACCGCGCAAATTTGTCGTAGAGTGTGCGTCAAGAGATTGTGCGACAAGTGGTCCGAAAGATTGTGTAACCTCCTATCCTTTCGATGCACTGGGCTCTCCTGCCCTAGGACGATGCCACTCGGGTTCGAGATTTATTTATTTATTTTCATACGTCTAAACGACATGCCAGCCCAAAAAGGGCGTAGTAAATTAACGAAACAAAGCCGGGAAAAGAAGGAGGGCAAAAGAATTAAAAGGAAAACTGGAACAAAAACAAAAGACCGCAAAGATCAACTCAGAAATAAGCGTTGGATAAAATTGGGATAGGCCAAAAACAAAAACCCCGAAACATGCTAGCAAAAGCGGGCACCTAATGAGCACACAATCGCTAGTATTATATGAGATAATGCGAAACGAAAAAAACGATACAGTATCTCAAGTATACGGTAAGCAATTATGGGGATTGCTGTAGCATACGGTATCTAACGACGTAGATTACTGTAGCCAAACACCGTACGCTACAATAAACCCCTTAGTTACTTCACCGTCTCTTAACATTTCAAGCTAGAAAACCTCACTGGTCTTTTTGCCTACCATATGCCTTGCCTGCACAAGATGACTCCACATAGGTATGTACACCAAAAGCATGCACACCTTTGTGAAGACATCTCAGAGATTGTCTGAGTTGGCGAATCCACCGAGAGCGGCGAAATTTACCCGTCGCGTGCGATACCGCGTGATGCCCTTGGACCTTTGGGTCTGGCTGATTTATGCCCTGATTCTGACCCGGGGCCTGGAACAAAGTTCC